AAATAAATATTATGTTTAAATATATAAATTATATTTAAATTTTGTGTAAATAAATATTTTTAAATATATAAATGATAAATAATTTATATTATAATATATTTTTTTATTTATTAATAATTTATTTTAAAAATATTAAAATTTAGTTCATAAATAATTATGATAAATAAAAAAATATAATTAGATAAAAAAAATAGTTATAAAAAATCTTTAAAAATCATGTCGTGAAAGAAAAATTCATAAAGATACTCTTACGCAAGATAAAAATTTGTATTTAATATAAAGTTAATTTAAAATAAAAATTTAATTAAAAAGGTATTTTAGTAGTTTTTTAAAAAGAGAAGAAAAAAAATATTTAAATAATAATAATAAATAATAATAAAAAGTAAACGCATAATTTGATCCTTGAAAAATGATATAGGCGATTGATTGGTCCCTAATTTTGTTTTGTAGCATTTAGATTTTAATTATGTTATGCAAATTAGATTTAACTTTATACTCAATTATTGATAGTGTTAATTTTATAACTAGTCAATAATTAATTGTCTTGTCATGTATTTTCTTTCTTAATTGGTATGCAATAGTTAAAAACTTATATTTACACACACAAAATAGTAAAGTTTAATTTTTAATTTAATTTAAAAATAATTGAAGTGTCATTTAAATCTTTTCATCTATTCGTATTTCCACTGAGCTCTTACGAAAATCTTATAAAATCCAACAGTAACCTTTCATTTTAATTAGAATATCCATGGTTAAAATATTTAAACATGACAAAGTGTTCATTCTTGATTAGAAAGTATCAAAATCTTATATTATGATCTATATTAAGTAATTAGGAGAAAAAATAGATATTCACCTTATATTTAACCATTGATTATTCAAAAAATTAATAAAATTAGTAATTGAATATAATAGAAGAACAAACTTTTATAACAAAATTAAAATTTAAGGATCCAAATGTTTCAAAATATCTTTCAAGAACTTATCAATGACTTCTACCATCCTTTAAAAATCAAATTGGGTGTACTCCAAAAAGAAATAAAAGAAAGAAAGGTGTATATGATCACCCAAATGTTTCTCAAAAACACTTAAACTTGGGCTCATCGATAAGTAAAGCCCTTTTACAAACTGTTTACAAAAAATAATGCTATTGGGCCGTCAAGCGTGGAAAATGGCAACATGCTTTTTGTACTATGTCATTTATTATTATTTTTAAAATTGTAACAAAAAATGACACGTGTAGTCAGTAGTCTACATGAAACATTACTATATGAGTGGTATTTTCTGAAAATGCAAGCGTTACCGTATACAGTGTCCCACGTGAATTAAATACAGGCACAAAATTTCCATTTTTAAAACTTTTTTTTTTAGACCCAAACTTTTTTTATTTTTTAAAAAACAAATAAACCGCAACTATCATTTGTGTTTTCCTATTTTTTTAATAGAAAATGTAGGTGGTAATTTTATTTTCCTAGTTTTTGTTAAAAAAAAAAAAAAAAGCAGAGAAAATCGCATGCATAATTATATTTTCCTTTTTTTTTTTGTTGATAACTTGTCATTCAAATAATTTTTTTTAAAATGACATATATTGCTAATATAAAAACAAAATAAAAAGAAGTAAGTTCAATATACTTACTATTCTTCGTTCAAGAAGGGATAATTTTCTGGTCTCTTCTTCTAGGAGCCCCCTACTCTTCAAAGAGCATAGAAGAAGAACAAAAAATTCAAAGTGGAGATGTGTGAAGCACTTTCGGAAGGCCAAGGCGCTTCTATTTATATATTTTCAGGAGTGACCGGAACGGCCCGTTCTGAATCCGGAACGGGACGTTCTAGAGTGCATCTTTACTCACAACGACCAAATTGAGAACGGGTCGTTCTAGGATGGGAACGACCCGTTCTGGATTTTTTAGTATGGAACGGCCCGTTCTGGTATAGAATTTATAGGTATTTTTTAGTAGACCGGAATGGCCCGTTCTAGTTTGAGAACGGCCGTTCTGGTCTAGAATTTATAGGTATTTTTAGTAACTTGGAACGGCCCGTTCCAGTTTGGGAACGGGCCGTTCTGGTCTATAATTTATAGGTCCTTTTGGTAGTTTGGAATGACCTGTTCTTGACTACTAAAATCATATAAAATTACTAAATTACCCTCCATAAAAGTATGAAAATTGAGTTGTTACATTTAACTTTTATATTTTTGTCTTTTTTTTTTTCTTTCTTGTATATATTGTTGAAATTTAAATATGGTTTATAAAATATTTTTATTATTGAATAATTGACTTGAAAACTTTGAGAGAGAAAATAGTGGAAAGATTAATGGAATATAATTGGTATTTACTTATATATATGAATATGAACACGTGGTCAGTTCAACAAGAACCCAAACATAATTGAAAGTGATTATCTTTAACTATTATAAAGTGGATATAGAAGATGTAACCACTTTTTGGTCTCCATTTTTTAATGGACCATTATACCTCTAGATGTAAAAAATATCTTCAATTTTCTTTAAATAATTATACACAACTTTCTAATATTTTATTAATGAATAACTATTAGAGGCATGAAGTGCCTCTACCCCTCTAGTACCTTATAATTGTTTAGTTGTTTGTGAGAGAATGAAATATTTGTCTGGTTATCTATTTATGTACTTCCTACTTGAGATAGATTTTGTATACATGTTTTGAAATGATACAATTTCTTGTCTTGCTTTAAAAAAATTTTATTTCAATCAAGTTTGTGATTAAATTTATAATATTGACCATCATATGATAAAAGTATATTAAAAAGGTTATTAGTTAAATTATTTACCTAAATACATCCTTAAAATAAAATTTTATTTTCAATTTTAATTCAATATATAATTCCACACTCCTAATTTTATAAAATTCTAAACTTTTATCTTACTGCTAAGTGTCCATTCGTTGATTGTAACTTAATAATAACAAATGTTATGACAATTAATTTTTAATAATATTTAAGTTAAATTATACTTTTATTTTTTTAAATGTGATAAAATGAAATAAAAAGAGATAAAAATTAAGACTAAAGATATAATTCAATTCAAATATTATTAAATATTAATTATCATATTATTTACTTAATGTAAGATCATGATCATTATATTTTTAACTGTGAACAAATGGATATTTAAAGTGAGACTAAAATTATAAATTTTATAAAATTAAGAGACTAAAATTATAAAATTAAAATTTGAATAATCAAAATTATAATTTAATATTATTTTTATTTCTCATTGAATTATATAAATCACCTTTTGATAATGATATCTGAAGTATCCCAATTCGGCATACAATCAAATTGGATTGAGCAATATAGGTGGTCCATTGAGTAATTGTGCATTTAATAAATTCTTATCTTATAGAAGGTGGTCCATTAATCCCTAAGAGTTATACATTTAATAGAATCTTATCTTATATAAGATATTTCTTATTGATCCCAAAGTGTTAGACATTTAATAGTTTATTTATCTTATAGAAGATATTTCTTATTACTTCCTAAGTGTTAGACATTTAATAAAATCTTATAGAAGATATTTCTTAGACTAAGACGAAAGTTTTTCAGGTTAATTAGTTACCCATTTCAGTTGATGGGGTGTCATTCATATCATTATATATTTTTAAATAAATAATTAAATTTTTATTTAATTAATTTTAACTGACAATATTAAATTTAAATTTATTTAAAAATATTTATAAAATTAAATGATCTTAATGGTGATTATATTTAATAAATCTATTCATAATATAATGAATATTTTTCCTACCAATTAATCGATATTACTTATATTGTGAATAGAACAATTTATATATTTGCTTGCAAAAAAATATATAAAAATGAGTATGTCATTTTTTTTAATAGAATGTAAAACCGTTGCAATTTAAATTCTCACCAACTAAATCAAGTATACTAAAATTTATGTAATTATGTAATTTCAAAATCATTTGAATTTATCATATCATTTTATTTTAATATATAATATAATATTTATAATATATGTATATACTTATTACTAGACAATATATATATAAAAGAAAGTTTAAGTAATGTGTGAAATTCAATATGTATGATCATAATTAAAATATTATATAATTTAAAAATTAAATTGGTCAAATTTATATTCTACCAAAAGTTATTGAATATGTAATTTCATTAATTTTAATGTCAATTATTTACATATTATGAACCATTATATATTTATATCTTTCTTAAAGATGTAAAATAATATATAAAAACGACAATGAAAATTGAAACTATATAACATTAAACATTATTAATATTTAATACACAGAGACGGGCCAACAACCACTCACTTTGATAGCAAATTGGCTTGGAAATCTAATACTAGTTAGAGCATTGATTCAATTTCTAAAATGAATGGCTAAAATATGTTGGGGGCCCAAAAATCTCAATCATCAACAAATAAAAAAAAAAAAGAATGTCTCTTTCAAATCAAGGCTTCTATTGTGTGCTGTGCTGGAATGAATTGGTAATGTTATATTCATAATAAAGAAGAAAAAAAATAGAAATGGCATGTTCACGACACATCACCATAAAACACTTCATAGTTCATTGTTGTTATATTCTTAATATGGGTCCGATTCCGAATATCAAATGATGCTTTGGAGGCAGTGTCGGTGTCACTCTCATTTACATCATCATTTTTTATTCCTTTATTGTTGCTCTCACATTGCGTTTAAAATCAACACTGAATTGTTTACGTTAAGTAGTTTCTGATAGAATTAGTTTTAACAAATCTACCTTAAGGTTTGGAGAAATTATAAAAGCACAAATTATAGGGGAAATTGTTGTATCCTCTTTTGATGTTTGTAAAAATGGCACCAA